GGCATGCTGCAGTCCATGGGGTCACAAAGAGTCGGACACTACTGAGTGACTGAACTGAACTGAATTGATTCTGACTTTCTTATTTTGTTCCATAATAGAATGTGTAGTATTATTTCTAGGGTAACCTCTGAAAGAACAGAGATAAAAGACAAAGATTACAAACTAGAAGTGGAAAAAAATAGAATGTTCTTTTAAAGTCAGTTAATCCAAAAGACAGAAAAAAAGAAGATTTTAAAAGACCACAAAGATGGTAGACTTGTTTTTTTATTAAGATGGCAGTAACTAGAATAAGGGCTTCCCAAGTGACTCAGCTGGTATATAAAAGTTTAAGGTAAAAGGATAGAAGAAAATGAAACTTGCAAACACTGGACCAAAGAAAGCTGGCATGGTGTATCAATACAATACAAAGCTGGCATTGTATCAATAGCAGTCAAAATAAAGTTTAAGGCAAAAAGCATTACTAGGGTCATTTCACAAAAGGTTCACTTCCACAGGAAGATATTAATTCTACCTTTCTATGACATTTATCAACATAATGTCCAAAGTTATAGAGTAGAAATTGGCAATTAAGTAAAAAGATAACTCTACAATCAAAGTGGGTTATTTTTAATACACCTAATTGATACAACAAATGTATTAAAAATTAAAGACATAAAGTACTTGGACAACACACTTAAAAAGACCTTATCCTAATTGATGTATATGGGCCAGTGAAGAGAATACATTATTTTTAAGCACTCTAGGAGCATTTTCAAATTTATGGTAAGCCATAAAGCAAGTCTGGACAAATTTCAATGGATTCAAATCATGTAGTGTGTTCACTGACCACAATGCAATTAAGCTAGAGTTCAATAACAAAGATTATAAGAAAATTCCCAAGTGCTTGGATATTAAAACATACTTTTCTAAATAACTTATAGGTCTAAGAAGGTATTATAATGAAAATTAGAAAATATTTTGCCAAATATAAAGAAACTACATATCACAACATGAAAATGCAGCTAAAACAGATTTAGCAGGAGATGTGTTGCCTTGAAAGTGAAAGTGTTGGCCAGTCATTTGTGTCTGACTCTTTGCAACCCCATGGACTATAGCCTACCAGGCTCCTCTGTCCATGGAGTTCTCCAGGCAAGAATACTGGAGTGGGTTGCCATTTCCTTCTCCAGGGTATCTTCCCAACCCAAGGATTGAACCAGGGTGTCATGCATTATGGGAAGATTCTTTACCATCTGAGTCACCAAGGAAGCTATATTGCCTTAAATGTGTGTATTATAAAAACAGAGAACCTAGAAATTAATTAGCTAAGTATTTATCTAAAGAAGTTTAAAAAGATAACAAAGTAAACCCAAAGGAAAGTAGGAGAAAGGAAAGAAAAACTAAAACAGAAATTAGTGCAATTTAAAAAATATTGAAGTAATATTGTTAGTGCAATAAAAATATTGCACTAAAAACTCAGTGCAAAAATATTGCACTAATTCTTTTCTCATGTGAAAAGAATTAACAAAGCCAGACTTTTTTTTTAAGGCAGATGAAATTGACAAACCTCCTATGTAATTGATCCAGGAGAAAAGGAGGTGCAGATAATACCATGGCTGAGGAAAGGGGGCTATATTATAGATAGTATAGATGCTAAAATAAAAGGCTATTATTAATAACTGTGTGCCACTATATGTGAAAATGTGGGAACCTAGAGTTTGTCATACAGTTACATTGTCAGAAAGAAAAAAACAAATAATCATATATTAACACATTATGTGAACCTGAGAGAAGTGGTTACTGATGAAGCTATTTGCAGGGCAGGAATAGAGATGCCGACATAGCGAATGGAATTGTGGACAGAGTGGGAAGCACTGAGAGAGTAACACTGGAATATATACACGACCGTGTGTGAATTAGACAGCTAGCGGGAAGCTGCCGCACAGCACAGCAAGCTGAGCCCGCTGCTCTGTGATGACCTGGGGGGGTGGGCAGATGGGAGGGAGGCTCAAGAAAGAGGATATATATGTTTACGTGTAGCTGATTCACGATGTTGTACAGCAGAAACGAGCACAACGTTGTAAATCTACTATATCCGAATCACAAAATAATAAAACAAAATTAGTGATGAACCTGGGGGGGAAAGAAAAGATATTTAGAAAAATAAAACAAAATGAATTCAAGAAGCAGGAAACCCAAATAGTGCCTATAACCATTAAAGAAATTAAAAAGCCTAGTAGGTGAACAGATATAACACACACAGGCCCCCACTGTAAGGCCAACTAATCATGGCAAATCAGTGTTTTGCGACTGTACTTCGGATCTTTGTAGCCACTCCCTTTAATTCCGAAGCACTGTCTTCGACCGTAAAGGACTGTGAGGCTGCGTGCTTGTTCCGCCTTTCTGGGATGCATATCTGTCTGTCAGCTGGCAAGGCCAGATAGTGCCCCATGATTCAGAAAACCCTGAGGAGCCTTTCCAGATAATCTGCTCTCTCTGAGGCCCATCAGGCTTCCCTGGTAGCTCAGTTGGTAAAGAATCCGCCTGCAGTGCAGGAGACCTGGTTCCACACTCCAGTATTTTGGGGCTTCCCTTGTGGTTCAGCTGGTAAAGAATCCGCCCGCAATGCGGGAGATCTGGGTTCAATCACTGGGTTGGGAAGATCTCCTGGAGAAGGGAAACGCTACCCACTCCAGGATTCTGGCCTGGAGAATTCTGTACAGTCCATGGGGTCGCAAAGAGTTGGACACGACTGAGCAAAGACCCATCAGTTAATAGCATGAACATTTTGACATTATAAAGGTAGGGAAACTTCCACTAGAAGTTAAGAGAGGATTTCCTTGGTGGTCCAGTGGTTGAGAATACCCCTGCCAGTGCAAGGGACAGGGCTTCCATCCCTGGTCTGCGAAGATTCCATATGCCACGGGGCAGCTAAGCCCTTAAAAACCCCCGAGCCCTGGAGCCTGTGCTCCACAAGAGGAACCCCTGCAGTGAGAAGCCTGAGCACTGCAACTGGAGAAAGATGGGAAGACCCAGAGCAGCCAAAAATTAATTAATTAACTAAGAAATATTTTAAAAAAGAAGTTAAGAAAAGTTGACTGTAGAACTCATTTCTTTTGGGGTATGGATATACTCCCCTTAAGGTAATACAGGTATTCCTGCTATAGAATAATCCTAAGAAATGCTCCATGTGAAGGCACCATCATGTAAACTTCCCAAGGCAGGCATTAATGTCAACAAATTATAAAGATCCTACTTTTTTTTAGAAAGGAATTCACCTTACAAAATGACCTACTTATCAAATGAATCAATTGTGAGCAAATTTTCAGGCTATATCAGGCAGCATCCTGATAACCTGTGATGTTCCATCCTTCTGTTAGTTCTCATCTTCAGAAGAAAGGAATCAACTTTGCTGAGCTACTGAGATCTCAGGATCCTGAATATGATGGGAATTTGTGGGTGAGGACAAAGGCGATGCCAGAGAAGAGATCTCGAAATGTTTAAAAGGATAGGCCAGCAGTCCCCAGGCTTTTTGGCTCCAGGGACCAGATTCTTGGACAACAGTTTTTCTATGGACCAGAGTTGGAGGGATGGTTTGGGGATGATTCAAACACATATTTATTGTGCACTTTATTTCTATTATTATTATATCAACTCCAGCTCAGATCATCAGGCATTAGATTCCGGAGGTTGGGGACCCCGGTGCAGATTCTGACGCTCTAGGAAGCATGAAAGCGTCAGCAGTACCACCACCAGTTGACGGGTTTTCTCCCCAAACGTTGTTAGCTCCTCACAGCACTCGGCACTCCAGCAGCGCCTCTTGCCTAAGGCCGGGCCTCCTCTGATTGTCCATGGTGCCCACATCCATGCTAAATGAAGCACTTGAGGATTTTTTAAAGATTTATTTTATTGACGTATAGTTGATTTACACTGTTGTGTTAATTTCTGCTCTACAGCAGAGTGATTCGCCTTATACACACACACGTATTCTCAGCGCTTGAGGATCATTTTGAAAAATGATTTGGGTTATCATTATAGCCTTTACCTCGTCAAGACTTTTTGCTTTTGACTATTTTTATTTTAGGGATTAAAATCTGATTTTGCTTATACAAAATATTGCTCAGCATTTAGAAAAAGGAAGACTGGAAAATGCATGCATCTCCGTGCAAAATCTCAAACACAATATATGGAGGGAAAGGAGCACCACACAAGCATATATGCTGTGTGATTCCACCCAGGATGTGCTGTGTGGGTTCAAGGATGGGCAAAACAAATATGGTAATATAAATAAGAACAGTGTTTGCATCAAAACAGTTTGGGATGGACGTGTACACACTGCTGTATTTAAAATGGGTAACCAACAAGGACCTACTACAGCACAGGGAACTCTGCTTAATGTCAAGGGGCAAGCTTGAGTAGGAGGGGAGTTTGGGGAAGAATGGACACATGTGTATGTACGGTGGAGTCCCTTTGCTGCTCACCTGAAACTATCACAACATTGTTAATTGACAGTGTGAAGTGAAAGTTGCTCAGTCATGTCCGACTCTTTGCAACCCCATGGACTGTACAGTTCATGGAATTCTCCAAGCCAGAAGACTGGAGTGGGTAGCCTTTCCCTTCTCCAGGGATCTTCCCAACCCAGGGATCAAACCCAGGTCTCCCACATTGCAGGCTGATTCTTTACCAGCTGAACCACAAGCAAAGCCCAAGATACTGGAATGGGTAGCCTATCACTTCTCCAGTGGGTCTGCCTGACCCAGGAATCTAAGTGGAGTCTCCTGCATTTGATACCCCGAGGCAAAATACAAAGTTTTTGAAAACAAACTCAGAATAAATTTAAGGACTTCCCTGTTGGGCTTCCCTTATAGCTCAGTTGGGAAAGAATCTGTCTACAAGGAAGGAGACCTGGGTTCGATTCCTGGGTTCGATCCCCTGGAGAAGGAAATGGCAACCCACTCCAGTATTCTTGCCTGGAGAATCTCATATGTTTTCAGGTGTGCAAAAATGGTATGCTATGTGCTTCGTGTCCTCCTGTGTGGGAAAAGGACTTATCGGAAGTGAATAATTGATGTTTGGACAGAAATCTTACTTTCTCTCCTCACGCACATCTCATCCATGTTTGGCAGATACTTATATGCATTCTTTCTGCATAGGAAAGAAAAAGTCCAAATTCAAAACGTTTAAGAAGTTCTTTGGGAAGAAGAAGAGAAAGGAGTCGCCTTCTTCCACAGGAAGTAGCACCTGGAAGCAAAGTCAGGCGAAGAACGAGGTTATGGCCGTTGAGTCGGGACCAGTGGGCTACGACTCAGAGGATGAGCTGGAGTAAGTTGTCTTTTCGTCCTTCAGGCTCGTGTGTTCCAGGGAGCACAGGAAGACACAGGAGGACCCCAAAACTCAGGCTTGTTGTCATGATGGACTTCTGAGCCCACTCCTCCTAAATAATTCCACATAAGATGTTTGAGATTCTTCCATAGAAGTGATGTTTTCTGTCTTTTTGTACATAGGGATGCAGAAAGTTGGTGGGGGAAGATTGTTAGGTACCTTCTATGTGCCAGGTGTGTACATATTAAAAGTCTGCAATGAATATAGGAGAGGAGGTAAGAGTGAGCAAACCAGGCCTGGGAGAAATTTCAGAAAATCCACCCAGTGTCCCGTTCTTCAGAGTGGCAAGATGAGGATGTAATCCCTGATTTCATTTGACTTAAAACTCTTTTTGAGGACCTGGATACTATACCAGAAAAATACATCTCTCTAAACCTAAACCTTGAGTAACTGAATAAGAAAATTTTCCATTAGAGAGGAGTAGGGGGAGGGCTTCTTACTTTACTTCTTAGGAAAAATCATCCAAAAAACATTGTTCTCTACAAAATCTGGGAAAGTTGCTCAGTCATGTCTGACTCTTTGCGACCCCATGGACTGTAGTTCATGGAATTCCCCAGGCCAGAATACTGTAGCTGGTAGCCTTTCCCTTCTCCAGGAGATCTTCCCAACCCAGGGATTGAACCCAAATCTCCCACATTGCGGGCAGATTCTTTACCAGCTGAGCCACAATGGAAGCCCAAGAACACTGGAGCATGGAACCGGGGTCTCCTGCACTGCAGGCAGATTCTTTACCAACTGAGCTATCCGGGGAGCCAACCCAAGCCTCCCGCATTGCAGGTGGACTCTTTACCAGCTGAGTCACAGGGGAAGGCCCTTCCTCCAAAAAAAAACAAAACATTGTTATGAAGAACAAAACCAATAGGTATGAAATATGGGAAAGTCTAGTGAAGAAATCCTTATTTCTTAACTTGTACTTCATCAAAATATAGTTACAATGCATATGCTTCAATTATTCTAGCAGTTATTTCTATGAGTAAAAGGAGGGAAAAAAAACAACAGATTTGTTGCCTTGTCAGACTTTATGTTTCTTTTAAACAACATTGGCACCTTAATTTGAGAATAAAACTCTTCAGGAGGCATAATGACCCTGGAATTGGTTCAGAAACCTTACTGAGACAGGGTCACCGGCTCCAGCATTCCTGGGAAGAGTCCTATCTCCTCCCTCCTCACCAGTCTCCTCGCCCATCTCTAAAGGAGTAGAAATTACACTAGAGTGTTTCATTCCCAAGTGGCGCTAGTAAAGAACCCGCCTGCCTGCCAGTGCAGGAGACATGAGAGATGTGAATTCGATCCCTGGGTTGTAAAGTTCCCCTGGAGGAGGGCATGGCAGCCCACCCCAGTATCTCCTGTCCTGGAGAATCCCATGGACAGAAGAGCCTGCAGGGCTGCAGTCCATGGGGTCATACAGAGTCAGACAAAACTTAAGCAACTTTGCACACAGGTACGGAAATAACACTGACCACTTGGTGGCACCAAATGACTAAAGAGGAGAGAGTAGAGTTTTGTCTTTGAGTGTTTTTCCTGGTGTTGGCGGGGAGCAAGAAGCACCCACGTGTAGCTTGAAGAGTGACCTCTGCATGCATTTTTAAAAGGCAGCTCCAGACTCTCGGGGAGCCAGAGATTATAGTGTTGCTCACTTTTACATGTCTTCACTGGGCCGGCCCCAGGGACATTATAACACTTGCTCCCCACCCCCACCCCCTACCACACACACACCCTGTCTCTCCACCAAAACGCAGACAAGAAACGAGAGCATAGCTGGAGGGGTGAGCTGGGCTGAAATGACCTGTCCACTTGTCCATCTTCTATCGCCAGCGTCCGTGGACAGCGCGCTTTTCATCTTTGTCCTCAGCTCCTGGCGGGGGCCAGTCGTCAGTGACTGGCGGAGGCTCCCTGGAGTGCTGCTAGGAGAGGAAGCCTGCTGTGGGGTAGGGATGAGGCTCAGGAAAGGTCCTTCAAGAGCAGAGATGAGACAACATCTTCTCTTTTTTTATCCCAGATTTACTGAGAGATCACTGGTATATAACACTGTGGGAGTTCTAAAGCATACACTGTGTTGATTTAATGCGCTTACACGTGGCCAAATGATCACCACCATAGCATTCAGTAATACCTGCATCACGTCACCTAATTACTATTTCTCTTTTGCGGTGAGAACGTTTAAGATCTACTCTAGTAGCAATTTTCAAGTATATAATATGGTATAATTAACTTTAATCATCATGCTGCACCAGCTGTGCTGTAGCCCCTGAACTTACTCACCTTATGGCTGGAAGTTTGTACCCTTTGACAACACCTCCCTATTCCCCTACCCCCCCGCCCCTGGTAACCACCGTTTAATCTTTGTGTCTGTGTTTGCGAAGTCACTTCAGTTGTTTCCGACTCTTTGCCACCCTGTAGACTGTAGCCCACCAGGCTCCCCTGTCCATGGGGTTCTCCAGGCAAGAATACTGGAATGGGTTGCTTTCTTTTTTAGATTCCACATGTGAAGTCATAGAGTATTTGTCTTATCTGACCTGTCTCACTTAGCCTAATGCCTTCAGCGCCCATCCATGTTGTTGAAGATGGAAGGATGTCCTTCCTTCTTGTGAATAAATAATATTCTGTTGTACTTCTGTATCACACCTTCTTCATCCGTCCACCCACTGAGAGACCCCTGGGTTGTCTCCATGTTTTGGCTATTGTAAATAGTGCTGCAGTGAATATGGGAGTTCAGATGTCTCTTCAAGATCCTGTTTTCATTTCCTTCAGATAAATACCCAGAAGCAGAATTGCTGGCTCATATGATAGTTCTGTTGATTCTTTTAACGTTTTGAGGAACCTCTATGCTGTTCTCCATAGCAACAGTGCAAAAGCGTTCCCTTCTCTCCACATCCTGCGTTCCCTTCTCTCCACATCCTTACTATCACTTCTCTCCTTTAATTTCTGTAAAAGCCATTCTCATAGACGAAGTGATGTCTCTTTGTTTTTGATTTGCACTTCCTTGATGGTTGGGGATGTTGAGTACCTTGTCACCTGCCCGTTGGCCAACTATTATCTTTGACAAAGTGTCTGTTTAGATCTTCTTATTTTGTAATTGGATTGGGTTTTTGCTGTTGAGTTATATGAGTCCTTTATATGTGTTACTATTTTGAATATTATCCCCTTACCAAATACAAGTTTGCAAATATTTTTCCCCCTTCTGTAAATTGCCTTTTCCTTTCATTGATGGTTCCCTTTGCTGTGCAGAAGCTACTTAATGAAATGTAGTCCTACTTGCTTGTTTTTGCTTTTGTTTCCTTTGCTTTGATGTCAGATTCAGAAACTCATTTCCAGATGTCAGGGCACTTACTCCCTATTCTTTCTTCTAGGAGTTTTACAGTTTCAGGTCTTACATTCAAGCCTTTAATCCATTTTGATTTTTGTGTATGGTGTGAGATAGTGACCCAGTTTCATTCTTTTGCATGCGACTGTCCAAGTTTCCAAACACTGTTTACTGAAGAGACTGTCCTTTCCCCGTGGTATATTCTTGGTTTCTATGTCATGGAGTAATTGACAGCATAAGAGATAAAAACTGAAAGGTGCTCTTTAGTCTCTGTGAAGAGTCCGTGAGCCTGCTAGACTTTGCAGAAACTTCTCATCAATCACTGTGGGCAAAAAGGCCTACTCACCGGGGTTTCCCTGGTGGCTTAGAGGTATAGAATCCACTTGTCAACGCAGGGGACACGGGTTCGTTCCCTGGTCCAGGAAGATCCCACGTGCCTCAGATCTGCTAAGCCTGTGTGCCACAGCTGTTGAACCTGTACTTCAGAGCCCAGGAGCTGCACCTGCTGAAGCCTGCATGCTCTAGAGCCTGTGCTCCACGGCAAGAGAAGCCACTGCAATGAGAAGCCTGCACACCACTCAAGAATCGCCCATGTTCTCCACAACTAGGGAAAGCCCACATGCAGCAACAAAGACCCAGCACAGCCAAAGAAAAGAAAGCAAATTTACGAAGATCCCTTTGCTGTGCAGAAGCTACTTAATGAGATGTAGTCCTACTTGCTTGTTTTTGCTTTTGTTTCCTTTGCTTTGATGTCAGATTCAGAAACTCATTTCCAGATGTCAGGGCACTTACTCCCTATTCTTTCTTCTAGGAGTTTTACAGTTTCAGGTCTTACATTCAAGCCTTTAATCCATTTTGATTTTTGTGTATGGTGTGAGATAGTGACCCAGTTTCATTCTTTTGCATGCGACTGTCCAAGTTTCCAAACACTGTTTACTGAAGAGACTGTCCTTTCCCCGTGGTATATTCTTGGTTTCTATGTCATGGAGTAATTGACAGCATAAGAGATAAAAACTGAAAGGTGCTCTTTAGTCTCTGTGAAGAGTCCGTGAGCCTGCTAGACTTTGCAGAAACTTCTCATCAATCACTGTGGGCAAAAAGGCCTACTCACCGGGGTTTCCCTGGTGGCTTAGAGGTATAGAATCCACTTGTCAACGCAGGGGACACGGGTTCGTTCCCTGGTCCAGGAAGATCCCACGTGCCTCAGATCTGCTAAGCCTGTGTGCCACAGCTGTTGAACCTGTACTTCAGAGCCCAGGAGCTGCACCTGCTGAAGCCTGCATGCTCTAGAGCCTGTGCTCCACGGCAAGAGAAGCCACTGCAATGAGAAGCCTGCACACCACTCAAGAATCGCCCATGTTCTCCACAACTAGGGAAAGCCCACATGCAGCAACAAAGACCCAGCACAGCCAAAGAAAAGAAAGCAAATTTACGAAGAAAAAAGTCCCACTTACCAAAGCGCATTAATGCTGACAAACCACATGAAACCCTGTAGATTTGAAAAAGTTGATGCCCATTTATTGAGTCAACGTGGTTATGCTTCTTGAGTCTCTTAATCTATTGGCTTGGCCAAAAAGTTTGCTCGGGTTTTCCTTAAACTCTTATAGAAGGGACTCTCTGGCTAAGACTTTATGCT